GCAGTTAGGTTTAATATAAACCTTATTCAACTGTAGGAATAAGAGGCTTGCCAAGTGAAAATGAATAATACTCTATAGACCTTGAGAATTAATTTACCTTATTGTTCCAGAAGACAGAGAGTCAGTGTGATAGAATCGCAGGAATGTATTTCAAGACTCAGGGTGGAGTATGGACTTCCTATTTACTTATTGTCTTGTCTCTGGGTAAGTCAGTTTCTCTCTGGGTCTCACCTTCTTCCAGTTTTTAAATATCATTGATTCTAAACAAAGAACTGAGAGATAAGGAAATAATAAAAATAACAAAATGTAACATATTGGAAAATCTGCTAGGCAGTGACATAGGTTGCATATATTTGATCTTAACGAATGAGATTACAAAAACACCATTTATTTTAGCAGGAATTTAGAAAGAAAGAGAAAGCCACTGTGACTTTTATAAAATCAACAAACCTGGGGGAAAAATAATCTCTGTAGAGAAAACAATTTCTTATGTAATTGCCTTGAGAAAAACACAAAGCAATAGATTTGAGGGGAATAAAAATTACTTCACATATTTGAGGGAAACTAAACTAAAATACAACAAACCCCAAAGCTACCTTGAGGGATTCTAGCAATAGTTTAATAGTTGAAAGATGGCATTATTTTGGAAACTAAAGAATAAAAAAAAAGTCCTATAGTTTTACTTTTAAGAAGTTTGTAATCAAATTCATAAAAGATAATTAGGTAAACTACAAATATTTTTATTTTGGAAAGAACCTGGCCCACATATAACTCATTGGGTGGCATTACCTGAAATACACTGCTCAATGTGGACTGCAAAAAGATATCGGAAAGTTGGGCATCTCAGAGATTAGGCATGAAAAAGACAGGAGCACACTTCACAGAAGAGAAATTCAAATGGCTATTTATCTATGAAAGGTCCTCAACAGCATTAGTATCGGGGAAATTCAAGTTTAAACCACAAGCGGTACTACTATACACACCCCAGACAAGCAAAACTGAAAAAGGACTGATAATACTGAGTGTTGATGAGTGTGCAGTAATGGCATTCACACATAGCTAGTGTGTATACCACTTTAGAAAACAGTTTTGGTATTATTTATTCCAATTTATGATGTATGTAATCACTTTCAGGTATGTATCATTAAGAAAGGGATGTAAATGTGGTAGAATACATACATGAAGAATATAGTAAGCTAAAATGGAAATAACCCACCAGCTCATTGATAAAAAAATGGCTAAGTAAATTGTTACATATTGCTACAATGGAACACTGTAATATGTAGCAATGAAAATGAACAAATTATAGCTATAGCAATGACCTGAACAACACATGGATTAAAAACAATATGGAACAAAAGCAGCAAGAACAGATTACATATTATATCATTCAATTTATGTAAAGTTCAAAATAAATGGCAAAACTGAACAATATATTGTTTAGGGACACATACTCGTGATAAAACAATAAAAAGCAAGGAAATGACTATCACAAAAGTTAGAATAAGATTACATCTAGGATGGAGGGAAAGAGTTGTGTTCAGGAAAGTCACAGGATGTGGGGGCTTCTAGGTTGCTGGCAATATTCCATTTCTTGATGTGGTTGATTTGTTACACAGTGGCATTCTTTATAATTACTCATTATACTATATAATTGCTTTATGCATTTAAAGTATATTTAACAATAAAAATGCTAAAAGTAATTGATATACTGTAGATGATATTTATGGAAAGAAAAAGAAATTTTGCCAGATAATTGCGCTCATGGAGTCTTTGATGGTAAAAACCACTGATGTGGGATAATAAAACACTGATTAAATAGTTTCTCCTAAGAGTCACTTTCAAGTGTAGGAGTCAAGAATCCTGTACAAATCTCCCTTTGTTATATTTTAACACAGTAAGCAGATCTCTTATCATAAACAAATTGATGAACCAGAAAAAGAACTGTTGTTACCTAAAACTTCAGATGTTTTGGAATTTTGAATTAACTAGCTGTTTTCTCCTTTAGATTAATCAGAAATTTAAGGAATTAAAGAAATGCAAACCAAGTTGGAAATGTATGAACTTCCTCCTCTCCAGTGGCCAGTTCCAGCTGTTTCCTCCTGCTATCAAGCTGGGTGGTGAGGTGGGTGGATCTTGGCCAGTAAGCTTAATGCAGCTGTAACTTCATAAGCAGGTAGCTTAGGGCTGTCCTGAGAGTCATTCTGTCCCTCAGCACTAAAATTCTAAGTTGGAGCCATTGACAATGGAAACAGATGAGACTACTAAAAAACTCTATGTGGTGCATATTTATCTGGAGGTGTTCTCTGCTGGATTGCAGAGCTCTGATGTTTGCATTCTTTTTATTCAAAGCCCACAAAGCTTAAAATCTGAGGTGCTCAGCTTTATAAAATCCCCTAAATCTATGTTTACTCCTTTAACTTCTACCATCCCCTGCTGTAACATAGGAAGAGGGTGGGGGATAAAAAAGGTTTATTTTGTAGCCATGGGGGGTCACCACTTGGTTTGGTTCCCTGTGAGTCTTACTTGGAAGGATATTGCAAGGGATTGGTCATGCAAAGATAGTCAAATCCAGGGTAATTTAAGAAGGATAATCTCTCCTTGCTTTTGGAGCATCCTACTTTGCCCCTCCCACCACCTTTTCTGCGGCTTTTAAATAAACACAAGCCTTCAGATTTACCAGTTACAAGTTTCCTTCTTCTACTATTTGCATATGGTAGTGACAATAGTGGCAGAAGCTCTGGGCTTCCCAAATGTGTCTACAATACACTTGGCACCTACCTCCCCCCTCCTCCATGTGAAAAGACTTGCAATATCCTTTACTGCTGCTTCAAGAGGAGGTAGGGTGTGTCAAGGTCCGGTGACAGAACTGTGGAATCTGCTTCCATTCATCATTGTAGCTGCTTCAATCTCATCCTCCCACTATTCACAATTTAAGAAGTTGGAGACAGATTTCTGAGGATTCTGGTTCTTCTATCTTAAAATTTCTTTTCCTAGAGAACTACACTTTAAACTTTGCGTTTTTACTTGAATTTACTTCCCAGGATAACGTCCGTAGGAATAGCTACATAATAGTAATAATATTTATTTCAGAAAGGAAAAAGCCTTTTAGTCAGACTTGAAACACAGCAAGTCTTTTCGAAAAAGGGAGGGGGGAAGAGAGCGGTTGCGCCAAAATTTCTTGATGGACACTGATGAACAACCAAAACCAGCTTTCCAAAGCGCCAAACCATAAGAATGATTATCCCCAAATGAAGCACTACTAAATTCTCCCCTAGAAAAAAGTCAAACATCCTTCCACAATCTCCCAAAGGATGGCTCCCTTCCAACCCTCCCCAACCCCCACCCTAACAGTCTCCCGGAGGATGGCTCCCTTCCCCTGTCCCGCATTTTGTCTCCTTTTCATTAAAGACTTAGGTTGTGACTTCGGTTTCCTTTCAGGGCTCTGTGTGTGTGTGTGTGTGTGTGTGTGTGTGTGTATTACAACTATCATTTTTACAACACAGGGCAGTTTACATAGCGATCGCACTTCCATCATCGCTTCTGAGCTCCTCGAGTACCACTTGCGAGAGGCATTCATTCATACATTCATCTCACATTTGCTCGGCCAGACCACACGTTATCCAGTGCTGGGTTTCACACCACGCCAGGGGAAGGGCGGGGCGCTCGCCCCCTGGAGCAGGGGTAGATCAGATTGTGGGACAACTCCTTGATCAATTCAGCTTTTCGCGAGCTTTTTGGGGCCAAATGCCTCACCTTCGGCTGGTACGCACTGGAGTCTGGATGCGCGGCCTGGGTCTCCTCCCAGATCCCAAAGGAACAATTCCCATCTGCCATGAAGGAAACCGCTACAGAGCAAGCGCTCCCCGCCGCCCTCGGGTCAGGGGTAAGATCAGGCGGCAGCTTAGGCTCGACTCAGCTCCTCCCCTTCCTCTCTTCAGTTCTGACGCGGCCGTAGAGGCGGCGGCAGCGGCGGCTGCGAGTCCCGCGGCCCGAGGCGCACCCACCCGTTCAGCTATCCCCGACTTCCTCTTCCCTTCGAGCGTCATCAGTGCGCGCCACAGGCACCCAGGGCGGGGTGATTGGAAAGGGAAAAAAGGCCAGCAGAGGCAGCCTCAGAGCTGAAAAAAAAAGGGAGGGGGGGAGGAGAGCGGTTGCTAGGTGATTTACGTCATCCGTACGCGCCGCTCTCCTCCCGCCCCTCTCTCTGGAGTGAGGCGAGAGCCCCGCACAGAGCGAGGGAGACAGTGAGCTGAGCTCCGGGCGCTACCGCCACGGCCACCGCCGCCGAGAGAGTGAGAGCGAAGGAGCATCCGAGAGACTCAGCCTGTCTACACTGGGCGCCGCCGAGACCTTCACCCTAACCTGGGCCAGCGGAGTCGCGGCCGCGCTCCTCTCCCCCCCTCACCTTCCCGGCCGGCAGCGGTGGCTGCACACGCCGGAGCCGGAGCCCAAGCTGAAGCCGGCGGCTGGGGGGCAGGGAGGCGGCTACCGCGGGCAAAGACTGGGTAGCTGCTCCGTGGTGAGAGAACGCTGAGGAGGGACTGGAGCTTTTGCCTCGTCCCAGGGCGTGGGGCGAGGGACCCCCAAGGTGTAGGTAGGGGGGTCCCAGCCGCAGCAACACATGCGGGAGCCAGGAGCGGGGGCGGCGCCGAGCGGAGCCGGCCGGGTCCCCCACCTCGTCGCCGTCTTGGCCACCCGTCCGGGGCCGTAGCATCTCTCCCCGGATTGTATGAGCCGGGGCCCCAATCCAGCTCAGCAACCACCCCCCGGCCGGGGGGGCGGGGACCCCAATGTGAAGCGGCGGCTGGGGCGGCGGGGAGAGCAGGGCGGGCGCCGCCGTCCTTTACTTACCTTTCCCCTCCCCTCAACCCCCTCAGGGGGTTTTCTCCCTTGGCCAGTCGCCGGCCCCCCGGCTCCTCAGCTGGACTCTGGGAGTTCTTAGAGCCCCCTCCCCCGCCCCAGCCCCGAGGGCGGCGGGGCCGGGGGGGAACGGGGGGCCGGCGGCAGCCTCCGCCCAGAGGAAACTTTATAAAAACAAAATCCGGAGCCTCCCAAACGTGACTGTCCCGGGAGAAGTGGCCCTGGACCGGCATAAGCCACAGCCTGAAAAGACCCAGGAAGAGGAAAAGAGGAGGTAAGCGGGGCCGCCGCCTCCTGTCCCCTGGCAGCGCGGAAGAGACCCGGGTGGCCGCCTGATATAGCTACGCTAGCACCGCTTCTTCCTCAGTTACGCGCCGGAGCCTTCCGCAGCTGCCACCCCAGTCCGAAGGAGGAAAAGAACCAACCCACTTTTCAGCGCCTTGGCTCTTATCTGAAGTGTGAGTGGCCGGGGGAAAGGGAAAGAGGGGTAGAAGGTGGGAGGATGCCGGTGCTTCCTCCTGGAGTTACGCTGGTGTTTTCCAGGAGTTTTGGGAGCCCGTAGATGAGAGGATAGACCTTTATTCCTCACAGAGGGGAGGAGGTATTAGGTAGCCCTGTATTTTGTAACCTTTAGCTCGTTGTAGGAGTATTGCAAATATATAGGTTTTTCTTAGGGGAGTCCTTTCGTCCTCCAGAGTGTGTTCTTTGCACCTTTCTGGCTTGTACGTGGCAAAGGGAAATCGAGGAAGCCAGACCATATGTGCACACAAAGGACATCTCTGTAATATATCTTTTCCTGGTACACCAGGTGTGATAGAGTGTTGTGGTTTTGTTTCTGAGCTACTCTTATAGTTCTTAAATGAGAACCACTTAACCTTGTGAACCACTGAAGTTACAGTTCTTTATGTTTTTTTTGCAGTCTTGAGAGATTTTCATTTCAGTAGCTATTGGTACAGGAAATTTCTACCTTTTTGGTTCCTGGGTCCAATGCCTGTGTGTTAGGAGATTTCAGTTAGTTAGGAAATTCTGAGTTCTTAAGAATCACAACTTATTTGGGGAAGAGCCTTTATTACATTAACCATTTTGTAAAAGTTGTCACATCTTTTTCCTTCATCAGTTTTTTTTTTTTTTTTTTTTTTTGGGTAACATCTTAAATGACAGCACTTTTTTTATTTGAGAGAATGGTTTTAGGCTTTACTTTGAATTATATTTCTGTTGCAGTTTTGGCCGAGGCCGGGTTTGAACCTGCCATCCTTGGTAGATGGGGCCGGTGCCCTACCTGCTGAGCCCTTGAATTATATTTCTATATTGATTTAGGAGAAACTTTTGATATTTGTTTCAAGAATGAGTTCTTGCCTTCCATTATTTTAAAGTTGAAGTTTATAAAATCTTTGACTTATATTTTACGTATTTTCTCAGAGTGCCAAATTAGAGGTGCATGAAAGTAATTAACATTTTAAATATTTATACAGACCTTAAAAGTTAAACATAGAGTGGAATTTTATGTAAGAGGGTGCAGACAGCACTATACTGAGAATTTTGGCCCATTTGTACAAGCCTGGGAGTGCCTGCTCTTTCTCTGGAAGCCACTGCCCAGTGATACTTTAAGGAAATGAATGTAAGCCTGGGGTTATCTATCTATCCTAAGTTCTCCATTTAAGATTTTGTTATGTAAAATTTTCTCAAACTTAAAAGAGTTTTGATCTTCTACTTTTTTTTTTTTTTTTTAGACACAGAGCCTCAAGCTGTCGCTCTGGGTAGAGTGCCGGGTAGAGTGCCGTGGTGTCACAGCTCCCAGCAACCTCCAGCTCCTGGGCTTAAGCAATTCTCTTGCCTCAGCCTCCCCAGTAGCTGGGACTATAGGTGCCCACCACAACACCCGGCTTTTTTTGGTTGTAGTTGTCATTGTTGTTTGGCAGGCCCAGGCTGGATTCGAATCTGCCAGCTCTGGTGTATGTGGCTGGCACCTTAACCCCTTGAGCTACAGGTGCCGAGCCTACTTTTTCTTTTTTAAAGTTATGAGTCCTGCAAGTTTATTAGCCTACATATTACATACAATTAATTTAAACATTTTTTACCTGTGTCCTTAAAATTTCAGGTCACAACCAGAATTGGTGTTTTGAGAAATAGTAGAACAAGCCTGAGTTTGACTTTTCTGCATTTTTATAGACTTTGATTATTCCTTTCTACCATTATCTTTCCCAACTCTTCTTGTCTGTGTTAGAATAATTTCTTCCATTTCTTTGACCACTTTACCCTCTTTTGGAACCGACCTTATTGTTTTGTTTTTCTTTAGAGGTCTTCTTATGTTTTTGTTAGGAACTTTAAATTCTATCCATTTTAAACATACTGACATCAAAATATTGAATGATGGATGTAATGTTAGACTTAGAATCAGAAAAAAGGTCTCTGCATCTGTTATCTTATTTTGTGACCTTGAGGAAGTCATGTATTCTATTTCTCTCAAAGATATGATGAAGAGAAATGTAGTCATGCAAAGCCTGTATGTTGGAAAGAAGAGGACAAATCAGCAAACTATAGTTTGTATGTTGTACTCAATTAAAATTGTTTACTAACTTTGGGATTTTCTTTTGTTGCTACAGCTATAGATTGGTTAAATATTATGGTAACATTTTATTGCATGTTTGTGTAGGAATGACAGACTATTTGGGGTCCTAGCCTTTTACTTATAGTTGACTGAGATAGTGAAACAAATTGCAAGGAACTATAGGAAAGAAGGAATAGACCAGTGCTAAGACCACTATATGCCAGATACTGTGTTCTGTACCTCATAGATGTGGATGCTTCTGTGTATTTTTTACTAGGGAAATATTGCTTTTGGACTTTATGTGTAGAATTAATTGGAACGTCAGAGCCAAATCAGGGAAGGTCTCTTTTAGGAAGAAAACAGCAAGTAGAGGCAGAATATTTAAGATTTTTGGAATTTTAGGATATGAGTGGCAGATAAAATTAAGAAGTTAGTTTGAAGGGAATATGGATGGAGATTGTTGAGTAGTGTTAACCTCACTTCGTAATTGTGTAGGTACATGGTTACACCCCAAAGAAGAGCTGTCTTCCTGGGAGTATAGTTTGAGATGACTGGAGAGAAATTACATTTTAGGCCAAAAGATTTTATGGTTGGATTAGGATTTTGTTTTTCTAGGGAAACAATGTTTTTACAGCATAGTCATGGAGGGAATATGCAGAAGAAATGAAAAAAGTTGCTTCTAATATTTTAGTATGGTGCTAGTGGTTTATAAGAAAGAATTTGGAAACAGGGTAGTAGACTTTGTTTTGGACATTGACTTTTAGGATAAAGTTTGGAATACAAATGCAATTTGAAGACAGCAAAGGAGTTTAACAAGTAATGTGCTGAAAATGCAGAGTTTGGAATCATTTTCAAAATGTTTAGGTTTCCCAGAGTGTGGATGGAGAGTGAAGAGCTAAAAAAATTCATATTTTTAGTTGGAAGGGAAAAAAATCCATGTTAAAGTAAGCAAAGATATAGCAAAAGTAGAGAATGAATGAGACACTCCTTAAACTTAGATGTAAACTTAGGTGTTTTAAAAGTGGCTACGAGTTAAAGTTGGAAAGGGAAGGCAGCCTTTAAACATGACCACCAGTTTAGTCCCAGGGTATATGTTTCTGTATTTTTCAAACAGCTGTAAGTTCTTTATAGTGTATAAAGAACAGCTACAAGTTCTTTATAGAGTTCTTGAAGATCAAGTTCAGAAGCATATATAAAATTTCATTGTTAAGGAACTTATAAATAAAAAGACAAACTTGTTTTCCCAATTCATGTCTTTAAAGTTTGCTCTGCAATATTATTATCCTAAGTTTGGTCTTAATATGACAAACTGGTGCTAAAAATAGCTGACAAGAGGAGGCTCCTTCCCTTGCTTGCAGTTGGTGTGTGACTTTGTGTCCCATACGATGGAGGGGATATCCCTATGTTGGCCCGTTAGTGCTGAAAATGCTTTTTTAGTGGGCACTTAAGATTGAACATCTTTGTGGGTTGTCATTAAGTATTGACTTTAACAAGGATTAAGGATTGTGAGGAAGGGAACATATATTCACACTTAATTTAGCACCTGTCCAGTAGCTTCTTTGACTTCTTTGGAGTGTTTATTCTAATGGCAGAACCCTCTGAGGAAGAGATAATGTGGATGGGGAGGTAGATATGAGGTGATTCCAGGGAGCTAGATCTAAGGAATTCTAGGATCAGGGTAAAGGGATGGGAACATAAGCCATATGGAGACCTTCTGTCTTTCTCCCTCACTTTCCACAGGATTTTAATGCAGGTGAATCCATGTTTAGATGAATTTTAAGAGGCAACCTTTTGTGGTTAACATGATTTACTAGTCAAGACAGTGGGAAATGTCAGACTCTTCTGGTAGTGGAGAATAGTAACTTCACATCCTTTTTTTGCCTTGGCAATTTTGGGATTGATAGGGGATGATTAGAGAACTTTGAGGGCATACCTTTGTGTGTGTGTGTGTGTGTATGTGTAGCACTAGATGACCTAGGTCAGCAGCAGCCCATTTCATTTGTCCTTTGGAAATGGTTCTTAGAGAAATCTTGTGGTGCCTTTGACATCTCATTGTGTAGAGGAATAGTTGCCAAACTGTTTACTAAAGGGCCACTTAAATATTTTAGGATTTTTGGGCCACATAGTCTCGGTTGCAACTTTCAGTTCTGCTCTTGTGTTGTGAAAGCAACCGCAGACAATACTGAAGTGAATGAGTGTTGTTGTGCTTCAATAAAATCTCATATGTACAAATAAGAGGTAGGTTGGATTTGAGCTAAAGGCTGCAATTATGGACCCCTGGTAACTGATAACTGCCAGATCCACCAACATATAGTGAAAGTTGCATTATCCTGCAAAGCAGGGACTGGCAAGCAGCAGCAAGGACTGGCTGTTTTAGATAAGATGCTTTCCTTTGGGCTGCCTTAAAATGATTTTGCATAAAGTATAAAGTACAGTTCCAAATACTTTTGCCTTCATAGTTGTGAAAACTGTGGATTGAGGAATAGGCATGATGACACATCTTTAAAGAGATGCAGCTAAAAAGTAGGGATTACTTGCATTTCTTATTTGCAGATAACCATACCTGGCATGTAGGAATATACTGGCTTTGTATCATTGTCAAATGTATCTCTGAAGAAGCTTTTGGGTGTGCTTTTGAAAGGTTCTGAAAGTAAAGCATTTACTTTGTATGTAAACTAGAAGTGTTTATGATGGGATAGAATAACACTAGTTGAATTGTAAGATAATAAAAGTTTGTTACTTCTATGTTTAAAAGTCTTAATCTGTTACAGTGATGAATTCAGTGTGGATTATAGGCTCCACAGTATTTTTGTTAATTTTGAGTATCATTATATCTTAAGTCTCTTAAATCATTTAAATGTGTGCTTTAAAAAGCTTTGCTATATAGTCACTGCTTCAATTGACTAGCCT